TCATTCATCATGAATTTACATAACTTCCGTCCAAGGGACGGGTACTTGAGCTAGTTATTTAATACTTATTCAAGTAACTCAGAACTATACATTTCACATATCCGTATTGTCCCCAAAATAAACATATTCTTTGTTTGTTGGTTTTAGTATAAAGCTACATAATAGACTATCCGCGTTCTGTTCACTGAGTAGAATTTAACCCGAATTTTAGCTTTGTAAATCCATACAGTTGCCGCTGACACACCAAGAAACAAGTAAACAAATAATATTAAGCAAGGGGGCAACTAACTCCTCTTGCTCTACCTAAATGGCGATTCTGCTTGAAATCGTATAACGCTAAAATTCGGAGTTGGATTCCTGAGGTGGTTACAGTATAGATATCCTATTGTGCAGCAACTTTGTGCTTTACAATAAAAAAATTTCTGTGAATAATATATTTTTATCAACACTACTAAGTTTTGAATGGAGTATTTTAGATAAATTAATTTTAATAAACACATCATAAGATAAACCGAGTTTTATTTTAATTTGACGGCATGTTAGCTATTAATCTATATCTATTTGTCTATACAGCAAGTAACTTTGATAATGGTACGACCTCTGCTGGTTGCACACTTCAAACTGCGTCTTAGAAAATCTTTTATGCAGAAGTGACTGTGATGGAGGTAAATTGTAAAATAAGTGTCTATTTTTTTTAATTCACTTTGTGAAAATTCCTTTCGGTTATTAATTTATTTTTCAATAAATTAATTGGTACGTGAATGCAATTTAGCTAGCCTATGCTTAATTATCGAACAAAAGATTCTTTTTGATAACGGTACGTAACCCTAACATAGCAGGAACACTACATTGAACAATGCATCTTACGTTAACTGATATTCGAAAAGTAGAGTTAGGCTTAGCGTTGCAATTACGATACCGGTTAAGAGACGCCATATTTGGCACGTGTTTATTTTGTTCGTTTGTGTGGCTGACACTAAGACAGAAGATTAACAGTCAACTTATTTTTATGTTTTAATTATGTTGTGTTTGTGACAGCGGGTGCTTATTTTTTCTGTGATAATTATTAGCGTGTATTAAAAACTTAAAGTTTAAGTTAAACGCCAAATTACGAGTATCGTTTTTTTTCTTTTTATATTAATAATGTGTTGTAAATATGTGATAGATGTTGACTTGTTGGCCTTTCATTTATATACTTCCAAAAGTAAAACCATTGGTTTTGTTAATGTTATGATTTTAATTGTATACTATTTGATTATTTTAACATAGTACATCAACTTTCAAAAAACCAAAAGTATGCATTTTCATGTTTTTGTGTTTTCAAGACTTGCGAAACTACATATGAGAATTGAGTGAAACTTAATGAGCAATTTATGAATTTGTAATTATAAACCAATATGTAAATGCATGAATCTTAAGGCCTTAGAATAAGTTGTGTTAAATTTAAATAGATGTTAGATATAACTTCACGAGTAATAAAACTAGCTGATTTTTTTGTTACCTTTCAAATGTGATTGTCATTTTTAACTAAATAATAATAAACCTAGAGAAAGTTGATTTAAATAGGAAGGGCCACTCTGGGCTTTGCCAAAATTGTATTTTGCAATTATTTTTTTTTTTGTTGACAAAATCTATTGATTGATGATTTATGTGCCAACATTTGATGCTCATAAAATTCTGTTGAAACAAGTTATACAGCACATGCAAGCATATTATTGTGATTTTACCTGGACAGTAAACAGATGCCATGTTTTAGCTATGATGCAAATTAAACATCGAGGTTCGGTAATAAAATAATTAAGTTGACCATTGGTTACATTGATGGGAATACTAAGCAGGCATCGGTTTGATATTTAATTTACTTTCTTTTTTATAGAACCTGGGTTGACTCAATGAGCAAAATTGTCATATTGTTGTTCTTTTTTTCATTTTATGTAACTTACAACTTGTCTTCACTGTTTATGGCATAACCTAATTCTTTCTGATCCAGCATAATGATACTCAGTTTTTGTATGTTCTGAAAATGTTGTACACTTCATTTCAGTGGATGTAAATATACTTTACTAATTTTGTACAACAACGTATCAAAGTTTTAAAAAAAGGTGTAACGTTAGGCCGTATAATAAAATTATAAGTTTATTTATTATTGATCGTATTATGTATGGTATGGTTTAGCCCTAACTGAACTAAAGCACAAAACGTACACAAGTTTCGGTGTTAATTTATCTCCTTATCGAACGTAGGCCGTACTTAGTAAAGACTTAGCTAATGTTAGGACTAAGACAAGTGGACTTGTAGATTTTGGTGTCTGCGATTTGAATTCTTTTGTATTATTTTAGAAATCCTATATTTAAAATACTGTTGCAATAAAGATACCAATTTGACCTCTACTTTTTTGCAGGTCACTGCTAATAATAAACTTTTAAACAATTCTTCTGGCAAAATATAGGAAAAACATAAATTAAGATGTTCAGTACTCTGCTGAACAATGGGATAATACAGGACTTAACGTCTTTAAGGTTTCAAGTCGTCATGATAACTTAAAAGTGGTCTAGTAGTTGGGAAGTTTCAGTGAATATTTTGTTTAAAAAAGGTGTGTGTGCTTCTCATTATAAGGTAATATTTATGACTTAATTAAGCATCACAGGTAAGATTGGTACAATGTATGAATTTCTAATAGATAATAACATCCCATAGAGTCCAAGTAATTCTGTAAAGACTTAGATTTCTGATATTTGATGAACGTTTTTTGGTAAGTACACTCTTGCCGAAACATTTGTTTCTGTGAGCTTTACATGATTCTAAGTAACTCAGAAAAAATTGCATTGTAAATTTTAAATTGACGACTACCATATTCTGAGTTAGCCAAACCTTGTGGGATATTATAGAATTTACGGCCAGAAGTATATATAATAACGAGGGTACCCATCTGATGAAAAAAATAGATTCTTAGTCTTTATAAAAAAAAATGCTTAAAAAAGTACTTTAGTTATACTCCTTAGTGGGTTAATTTAGTTTTGATCTATGTAGGTAGCTTGTTCTGATCAGAAGTAATATTGATTACTGTTGAGAAGCTACTTTTTTACTAGTGAAATATCATAATATTATGTGAACATTTCTCAAAACCCAATTGATAAGATAGATTCTGAATATATTTTTTTTTAAATTCATTTGTGATCATCAAATTCAGTATAGCGTACTACAGTATGCCGAATGAGGAGTGGTCCTTCCAACAGCTCTCACTGTCCAGAGTGTCATAATATATTGTTGAATTAGTAGTTTTTCTTAGTTTTAAACTACTGTAAATGAACAATCTTCAAACTAGTTAAATCGAGAGTAGTTGTCCCAGCCCTATCTTCGGTACTGCTAACACTTTCATTTCTTCAGTATATTACCTTCATTGTATTTGGATACAGGTTAGGGTTAAAACACATATTTTTATTAATTTAGATACATCGAATAGCCACTAATAGCTGTGTTGTCCGTAAACTTTTGTTAATATAATGTTATATAACTGTATGAACAAATATTTTGTGGCATATTTTAATTAATTATGGTTTCATAACAAAAGTAAAAGTAATGTGGCAGGGTTTTACTAAATGATACAAGGAATAGAAAGCTCTGTCATTATTTGAAATTTCACAGTATCTCACAAATCTTAAGAGTATTTTCAGTGTTCACGTGTTTTTCTCGTGGGAAAGATATCACATTTTAAAAAATGCTTCTGAATTTTTATTATTTTTATAATTCTCATGCTATATGGGTTTGTTGTTTTATGGTGGTGTCATGTTAGTGGTATGTATATTCTGTAATAACCAATTGTTATTTGTACATTTTCATACAGTGGTTAATAGAACAGTTTTCTTATCTCCCTTATCCTTTTGTTTGAATGCAGGTTCTTATTAGGCTACAACATGTGATAGTTTATAATAGATCCACCAGTCTATATGCTTTATCACAATAAACAGAGGGTGATTATTACGATGCAGTTAATATTTTACGTCAGTGAGTTATTGTAGCAACTAACGGTTCTCTGAGTCTGGGAAGGATAAATATTTTAATTTGATGTTTTGGGGTTTTACATTTGCAGAGTGGATAGATGGTTTGAGAAAAACATCTTGAGATCAAGAGTAGTTTAAATTAAGATCATTGTTAATTTTTCAAAATATGTAAGTGGGTTAAAGAACTGTGGGTTATAGAATAATTATGGTGTGGTAATTAGCAAAACATTACAAGCCGAGAAGAATCTGAACTGATGTGTTTGTTAAAACAAATAACACTGGCAAAAATTGAATTTGATTCTCTTAGTTTTTGGATGGACTAGAATTCTTTATTCGTTTAACAGAAATTTATTGAGTCAACTTGATAATTTTTTAGATATTTTTTAAACTTGCAAAACCTTGAATGTTCAGTCAGAATCATTATTTTTTGAATAAAACTGTTTGACCTGCAAATATGTATTATTTCGTTGAATATTGTACAGAAGATATTTTCTTTTAAATACCCTTTACTTCAAGTTGTTCTATGCCTAATCTTTTAATATTAAATACAAGGTAATTTGATATTGGTGTCAAATCAGTGTGACATTTTCATTTCATTCTGAGTTTTTTCAGAGAGTTTGGGAAATTCTTTTACTTGTGATAAATATTGTCTTAACCCTTTCGCGATGGGCCCAGTATAATATACACAATTTGAGTACTTATACTATAACTTTTAATGCGGGAAGTGTATCTTTACAAAATTTGGTAGACTTTTAGTAAAGAGTACAAGTCTTTTGTACATAAAAGATCAGATGGGCCCAGTATAATATACACAATTTGAGTACTTATACTATAACTTTTAATGCGGGAAGTGTATCTTTACAAAATTTGGTAGACTTTTAGTAAAGAGTACAAGTCTTTTGTACATAAAAGATCAGATTTTTGAATGAAGTATTTTTATTATAGATTTGTTTGTGAAAATATTGAGTCAGTTTCATTACCAGACCAGGTGCGAAGATTGTTTTTTTTTTTTTTACTTGGATTCTTCAATAAGTATGATATTTATCCATAACTTAGATAGCTCATTTTGTTTCTGTAGGACACTTCTCACCATGGTTACATTCCTGACCGAGTGAAAAAGGCAGAAAAACATTTGGAAGACAATCAATACGATGTCGATGCATGGAGTGTTCTTATTCGAGATGTTCAGGTATAGAAAGATTTCCAGATACTGGGAGAATTAAAAAATGTTGTTGTGCTTTTAAGAACATTGAATTATATCTCATTTATTTCCTCCAATACTTTGCTGGAGTAAGCCTCATCTGATACATCTAATTTTTCTTAATTGGAATGTGTATGTTTTAACTTGTGTTTTTTAACTGGATCTTTTTTTCTTTTTAAGTAAATCAAACTATGTAGCTATATTTCAAGGAATTGCTGTTTAAATTTTTAATCCAAATTTTAAGAAATTATAAATCCTTTTAGCTTTGATACTTGTGCTTGCTGAATTTTTTTATTATTGTTGACATTACGTTGTTTCTAAACTGATCACTTTAGAGAAAGTTAAGCCTAAGTTGTGATGCTTTCGCATAGTGGCCTTAGAACAGAGTGCTTAGTGGAATTTGCTAATCAATTAATTGTTGGGCTTACTAATCAGTTATTCTCGCATGACTGTAGGATAGTTGGAATAATCGAAAATATTAATAACTTTAAACAGTTTTGTTCGGGTTAGTTTAATTTCGTGATTATTAATCATAATTTTCGATTAATTGGTTACGTTTCTTGACACCAGTTGCCTCAATTGATGCTCGTAGGTAATTAAGCTAATTACCCAGCTCAATAAGCATGCGACAGTTTTATTATAGGGGAATGAAATTAAACATAAGTATTGTTTAGCAACCAGATTATTTGTTAAAATAGGGCTGTAAACAACATTCAGACATTGGAAATTTTAGAAGAAATTTCAAGTATGTCTGGCCAAGTCATAATTTTCCTTGGGCGTTACGTCTGTTCAAGCAGATTATCTTTCTGTTTGGGGAAAAAAGTTCCTTCCCAAAGCTATTCTTGATTAAGTACTTTGAGTATCTTATTGGTACTGTCTGTGAATAAAGAAACTATTCCCGTATCTTTGATTTGGTCTTTAGTCTTCTAAATTCTCCATTAGCTTGTTTTGTTATACTTATCAGAAATTACCACTCAAAGCCACTTTATTTTCTTTACACTGAAGTAAATAGTTTATAATATGTTCTTTTCAGTCTTACATAAATTACGTCTGTAGTTATTTTTTGCTTCATTAGTAAGGGTTCAGACCTGTTTGCTATGACATTATAAAAGAGAAGAAAATAACATGAGAAACAATATCTCCATAGTTACATTCTCAAGAGGTGATAATTTTTAATTATAAACCTATACTTTGGGATGAACAAGAAAATAATAGACATTTACAGGCGATTCAACAGAACTGCGCAGAAGTCTAAAGTTGGAACTATTTTTTATTTTTCTTTGCAAATTACATTAAATAAGTACTACAAAATGACAAAAATTTTGATTGTAAAATATTTTTTTTTGTTAAAAGTGTTGAATCGGGTAAAATTGTCGTTTTCTCTTAAATCTTTACTGACATTCTTCTTTTCAACTTTCAGTAATGATTTTCATATAGGGGAAAAGCTAAGAAATTAAAAAAAAAGTATTTTTACCTTGAATATTAAAAATTGGTATAAGTGACCAAATTCCAGATTATGTCCAATCAAAATGGTAGTCTGACGTATGTCCTGCCAAGAAAGAAAAAATACATTTACTTGCAGCTCTGTTAACACGTTTTAATTTTCCCATAACTATTTGGACAAAACTGAAATTAATTAATATTTACTTTGAGTATATAGAAATGTTACATTTATAAAAATTTAAATATTTAGTGATAATTGTTTATTATATCTAAAAAAAAAGTATATTCTGAGGCTGATTTTGGTAATAATTTCCTCTAATTGTTACCACAGTTAAGTAGCCTATGTGGTAACCTAATTAATTATTAATTCATAACTTTTTTATCCCATGTTTTGGCTACTAATCCGTCACCCTCTTCACGGAATATCCCAAGAAGGACTATTTTCTATGTTGGTAGTGTTAGTGAATGAGTAATGGGGCAGTTTATCATTAAGAAGACTGAAGATCAAATTCTGGCCACTACCAACACAGAAGATAATCCTTCTTAGGACTGAAGATGACAGCAGGTTAATAGCTGAAAGTAGGATAAAAACTTAACTCAGGTTATTGTATAGACTACCAATGATGACAGCAACTGATATCTGATTGTCACCAAGTACTTTCTCTAATGTTGTATTTATACGTATTGTTTTGATTTAAACCTAAAGACCTGGAAGTACTTTTTGGAGAAAGGGAAGTTAACTTTGTGTAAATTTTATAGAACAAGAAGATTGAAGAGGCTCGTGAGTTATACGAGAAGTTGGTGTCTCAATTCCCCAATGCTGGGCGTTACTGGAAGCTGTACATTGAAAATGAGGTTTCGTATCATTATTTTAGACATTTAGTTTGTCAGTCAGTACTGGTAGGATTTTATCTTCTTTCTCATTTTAAGGAAACTATTAGATCACTTCTAAATGTTAAATGTACCCAGAGTTAAAAAAATTAGCTACTTTTTAAGAGAATTTTTGTATAAAAGAAATACTTCAGAAAAACGTTCACTTGATGCACAAGTTTCTGTGTACCTTTTTTTTGTGACATAGTTTTTGTAGAAATCAAAAAACTTAAGTAATATGTATAAGATATATTTAGATGTAAATTAACTTTCAAGTCAGTATATACATCATTCAGAGGTATTTCATTTAGTAGACTTTAGCAAGGTGATCATTTGACCCACTTTGCAATAAACCATTTATTTTGTCTAGAAATGTATTCTGTCTGATAGTTGTGTGGCCTGATTTACTTTGGTCTTGTGTCTCTTCTTTTTCTGTGTGCTGATGTATTTTTTTTCTTACCCAATACGAGTTACAATTTACATTCTGCACCAAATACTCACACTTGTAGGATCTACACTTTGAGCTAGTGATTAGTATAATCATTGAAGTGTAAAACTGCTTGGATGTGTTTATAATCGAGTAAGTGGTCATTCTGGTTTTAAAAAAAAGATTTACTTGATAAAATTATGAATTTTTTTTGGATGTTTGTTGAATTTTATATGAAATTATTGAAAAGCACTATACTGACAACATTGTATCCGTAATCGTATATATTTTAAAAGACAACACCGCTCGTGCACGATCCACAAAGGTACAGTGGGGGTAAACTCGACCCAACTAGTGGGTGTGTGATACCTATGATGTGTTTAGAAATACTTGATTCATTAATGCATCTTAATTAAAGCTCAATAAAGGTACCTATAAGTTGTCATTAAAACTTACTGTAGTTATTTAATTATTCTAAAGGAACACAGTTAATACATTTTAGTAAGTGCTTTGGTAGGAAATGAAATAACGAAACTCGGTATGAATACCATTCGTAAATGTACTTATTTGCATAAAATTTTGGGCTGAGTACACATCCTCAGGTGTGTTAAAACATCGAGAGAGAGTAGAATGAACTAAAAGATCGCGTGTTTCATGTAATATAACCGTACTATTAATATCAGAATACGGGTTTGAATGAAAATTAGAAATAATATCTAACAATTGAGCCAAAAACATTAAAACAGTGACATAATAAATAAAAAAATATACTACTGCTACATTAAAGTTTATAAGATTTAGGAGAAATAAGATTAGCATTAATGCTAACACAGTTGGAATTTTATAAATCTTTAAATTGTTTTTGTTTTTCCAGAGCACTCTTCCCAAACGTTGTGCAAATAAATATGATTCCAAGTGGCATTATGCTGTCGTTTAAGTATTTTATTTAGAGTTATTTTGGTTATTTTGGAGAGATGCGAAACATTTCTGGTTGAAGATAGCTTTTATATATACGAAAACATCCGTTAGCAGAGTTCTTACACAGATCTTAAAATATAACGTTGATAAATGGAAACATCGGCTCGTGTAGATACGTAGATCTTGAAAGTCGAGTTGTTCAAAACTTGAAAGTAGCGTTGATAACTGGACCAGTTGTTGGTTGAGATGTTGCAAAAGAACTATCTGCTGAAGCTTTTTGACGGATGCTAATCATGGCAGAACTGTCTGGAAAATGATGTATAAAAGCTATCTTCAAGTTTTGTACAACAAAAACCTTTTTAAGTATTTCTGGTTGAAATGGGGAGCATTATAAATCCAGTCCTTGAATAAAAGACATATCTTTTATCATTAATCATAGATTTTTTTTTACTGGTACAGATAATTTTTATGTGTGTGAAAATGCTGCACTAAGTCTGTGATAGACTTAAATCTACGGAGGTAGAACCTTGTGGTTGGTATCCTTAGCAGCCCAGTACTTACTTTACAGTTTTTGAGAAGTTTATTTGAATAATATTTAACAAAACTCAACACGTCAATTAGGCCGTTTAATTAGAAAAATATATGCAAGAAGAAAGGGTGCTTTCAGAGCAGCGTGCTGGAATCTTTTCAATAATATTTTTCGAGCCGATCTTGTTCTTATAGCTACGATACATGAACAGACTTGTACATCTTATAACACGTAGTTTGGATGTCTTTATCTCCTTGGGAAGACAGGTGTGTGTGTGATTGTTTTTGTACTTGTGAGAAGCATAAATAAATAAATGGAAAAGAAAACTAAGGAACTTTCAAGCATGCAGTTTGTTCACTCTATCTGTGTCAAGGATAATGTTTCGGGATTTAAAAAAGAAAACGTGGATGTCAAGCGACTTGTATTTAGGGTGGTTTTAAAGTGGAATGTCTGGGTTATTAAAACAAAGCAATTATTATTATATAGATAGTGAATGTGGTGTGTGTGGTTCCAATTCATATTTCACAAAAATTGTTCCCGTCTTCACAAATCTGTTTAAAGTGATCTACCGTCTAGACATTTTAAGGCAGCGGTTCCAAACTTCATGTAGTGGCACCCCCCAACTCAACATTATTCCCCACCCCCCCTTCATACCGAATAATTTTCACAAGAGATAATAACAACAAATACATTAGTTGCATAAGTAAGCTATTATATTAATTGTGAACATTATAAACCATGAAGAGCATGAGATATTCTAACTTAGGGTAAGGCTGCTTGCTACGTTAAAGGTATTGTAATATACTGCTTCGTAAAGTATAGTTTTAGAAAAAGGGTTTTGTTGTATTTTTCAAAATCATATTCAAACTGTGTAACTCTCCTTTCTTGGGTAAGGATACAGTACGTTATTTTATTTTTTTCCTATGTTAATTAGTCTATTCAGCATTTATCTTACCTTTTTTTTTTCACTGTCTCGAGAAAAATTTGTTTTTACTCTTGATATGCATTTATTAGTTGTACTTTCTATTGTTTTTTTTTTAACGTATATCGCTTGCCCACGTCTGTACGTCCATTTAGCTAAAAGCAACTTTTACAAGAAAAATAAAAACAAAGATTTGAACCATTGTGAATTAAAAAATATTTTTAGCATTTTCATTTAGGGGGAGGGGGTACGTAAATGATGCGTATGTAAACACGAGGAAAGTCATTGTCTGGGGGTGTGTGTGTGTGGGGAGTGGTATAATAATTCACAGTTTTTTGTAAAATTGTTTTTTTTTTACACAAGACCCACAGAAAATAAATTTCTTGCAAGAGTTTTTATGCATGCAGACATAATTCACAGATCATTTACTTTCAGTAAACTCATTTTATGGACACTGTAGATCAGTTCTAAGGTACATAAGATAGTATGTTACACATTATTAAACATATTCTGTGAATTTTCTAAGTTATTAACGTTCACAGTCGACGCTATCTCAGCTGTTTAAACATATGTCTAAATTTTATACACTGCATGAGTGAAAAATATGTTTTCCGGATGTACATTATGTAGCATTAGGAAGTCATGTTTTATTTCGTGTAGCGGGTTGAAGAAGCTATGAATTGTGTCTGCGCATAACTTTTTCTCAACTTGTCGCACTGGAAAAGACCCAACACATATTTATAAGTATTAAAAGTCAAGCTCATGTTATGTTCCTGTAGTAAAGGTTATAAAAACTTCTGATAATAAGTGTTTGAAATAAGCACGTTTCTACCTCGTGTTGCAATCTTATTCTGCCAAGCCGAATGACATGATACAGTTAAGACTTCAGGGTTAAATCCAGGAACACAGAAGTGAAAGAAAAAGTAACAAAGAAACATTTCGTGTATAATTTAGAATTTCATAATGAATTAACAATACTTAAGCAATATATATAGTACTAAACCCATTGAAAACATTAAAAGTGGTTTATCACAGTTTTCAATAAACATTTATAATCTATTATGATTGGTGTTTTATGTGTTTGTTTTTGGATGGGGTATATAAAAAAACAACAACTAATCAACATTTACAGTACTGTGAATGTTTCAGGTTTAAATTTGATATATTGAAGATAAATTATGTAAGCCTTACTTTAAATTACTGCATTGATCTTCACATTAAAAGAATTGCTGAAATGCCAGTCTTTAATTACAAGTATTCAAAATTAGCAACAGACATATATTACCACTTGACCATGAAAATAAAAATCAAGATACTATATTAAAACAACAAGTTAATTATTGGGTCTTCCATAAATTTTATTTCTTTGTAATAGGCTAAGCGTGACGGTTCCGTTTCATTAACTTGTAACCAGTAGTGGTCTGTACAGTTTAGTACTTTATGGGATCTTTACTTCCATTGTTTATTGGACTGATCACCATGTGTTGGATTTGTTTGTTCACAGTTCTGTATGTTACAGAAGTTGTGAATAAGTAAGCCAATGAGTGTTAAAAGATCCTCTGATATAGTTGGATTACAGACATTATTTTACACCTTTCACTCTGGACCACATCAGATGCACAGTAATTGATAATTTTGTTAGACGTCATTGTAATATTCCTCCTCTTCCTTTACCCTCTGGCCACGCCAGATGTACAGTAATTAATTATTTTCTCACAGTCGTACAGCACTGGCCTAATGAAAACATGCAAAATAGCGTTTGGCTGAAAGAAAGATGAAATTAATAAATTTACACATCACAGCAAAGTAAGGTTTAGAACAACTTTTGTTGAGCTACAAGATAAAAGGTACATTTCTTTTGCACGACTAGAAAGATTAAATTTGGTAGTCTTTGATGTTAAGACTTACTCTCTCTCTATCCAAGTTTGGTTTTAACCAGGGAAAAGGATTAGATGATATGGAGAGGTAAGTTAAACTACATTGAAGCATCATGAATTTTATTTGTCACTTTCCTTTTAAATAGGTCATGAATCTCAAATCAGAAGTATGTAAAAAATAAGAATTCAAGTCAGTTCTTTTTGTCAGCTGCATGTCATTGCCCAAACTATTTCATTCAATACCAGCTTGACTGGACCATGATGGTCAGCCAAAAGTCTATTCGTATTTTATTTGCATGCAGTTTTGGGTTA